AATTTATGGCTACGTGACCAGAGACCAGTTTACCCAAGGTAGTTTTCGTACTTAAAGTATTGTTAGGAATACTTTCACAAGATGGCGTAGCTCAGGATCCTACTACGGTTTTACCATATTAGCATTCTCTCATCTCTAAATAACACCTTAAAAACCCACATTACAATTTAACTTACAAAAGATAATTCCTTTTAAATAAACCTTATTACATTATTTTGTGCATGTGTGTACATACAGGCGTGCTTGTGTGCATGTGTGTATGTATGTGAGTGTATCCACATACCATGACACGTGGGGAGGGGTCTGAGAACAACTTCCTGGAATTGTTTTCCTTCTACCATATGGGTCCCAGAGGTCAAACTCAGGTCATTGGGCTTTGTGGCAAGTGTCTCTAACTGCTGAGCCATCTACAAAAGGTAAATCTTTAAGATGAGAAATAAGTATCAAAATATAAGCTAGATTAATTTTTAAGCTTTACTTACTTTTTATACTTTGCTTTGTAGGCGGAAGTTTCTCTCCTGCCTGCCTGTTCTCAAATACCCAGCAGCTGCTTCCCAAATAATTGACTTCGAGGCTTAAGATTACTTATAAATGCTCAGCCGGCAACTCAGGCTTATTGCTGACTAGCTCTTACACTTAAATTGACCCATAATTTTTATCCACGTTTAGCCACATGACTTGGTACCTTTTCTCAGTCCAGCATTCTCATCTTGCTTCCTCTGCATCTGGCTGGCGACTCCTGACTCCGCCCTTCCTCTTCCCAGAATCCTCCTAGTCTGGTCGCCTGGCCTACACTTCCTGCCTGGCTACTGGCCAATCAGTGTTTTATTAAAACCATTTCAAGTGACAAATCTTTACAGTGTACAAGAGGGTTATTCCACAGCATTGCTTGATCTGCAGACATTGTAATCACCGTCTGAGTAATGCGACTTATAAGCTACAAAATCATTTATCTAGCCTTCATGAAGATACCTAAATGCAACTCTCCCACTTGAGGAGCTCAGACCTGTGCCTTGGTTGGGTGTATTCTGTCCTTTACCTAAAAAACTCTCTCTCTCTAAATGCCTGTGCTACTTGCCCTTATCTTTACCTAATGAATCCTCTAACTTTGCTTCACTCTGAATGTCTTTTCATCAGGCATAGCTAAGGACCTGGCTTTGCCTGAGTGGGTGTCTCTAAGGGGAGGACTCAGGCTGTCGACAGTTCTGGACTGAGTCTCCCTGATGCCTGACACAACAAAGCACAGTAGGGAATCACTGGCCTCTCACCGTGTTGATGGTCAGCCTTCATCTTCAAATGGCCTCCTGGCTCCATCCTGCCTGCAAAGATGGAAGGTCTGACTTTGACCTTACTGACTGCTCTGGATGTACACAACCCACCAACCACCATGCCTGGAATCCTTGTGTCCTTTTTAGTAGGGATTGCAGGTTCTACCAAGGGGAACCTGGTGGCCTCCTACTGTGTCTCAGTGTTTCTATTGCTGTGAAGAGACACTATGACCATGGAAATTCTTATAAAGGAAAACATTTAATTGGGGTGGCTTACATTTTCAGAGATTCAGTCCATTATCATCATGGTGCGACATGCTGGCATGCAGGCAGACATGGTGCTGGAGAAGTAGCCAAGTGTCCTACATCTTTGCAAGCAACAGGAAGTGGTCTGAGACACAGGGTGTGGCTTGAGCTTGTATGAGACCTCAAAGCCCGCCTCCATAGTGACACACTTCCTCCAACAAGGCCACGCCTACTACAACAAAGCCACACCTCCTAATAATGCTATTCCTTTTGGGGGCCATTTTCTTTCAAACCACCACACACTGCCTCCAGGGCCAACTAGAGAAAAGGGGGGAGGGAGGCATAGTGAGCAGGTAGCTCTGGAACTGGACTCAGTTTTATGTTTCTAACCTGTAAGGAAATGTGGTCTTATGGATGTATGTGTTCTTTAGAGGACCAGTTGAGAGGGATGGGAAGTCTAGTCTGTTCTGGAGACCATGAGTGTTGGCTCTTTTGAAATGGGGTGTCAGGACAATTGTCAGCTAAAGCTGGGTTCAGTGCTTACGGCATTTGTCAATGCTCTGCGTATTCACCTGTTTTCGGTGGACATCTTCAGGGGACAGGAAGCCATGACGGCCAGATTGTTCCCAGCTTGTCTGTCCTCAGGGCTGGTGTAAGAGTGTGTCATCTGCTGTGGCCCCTCCCCCGCCCCCACAGACTTCCTTCTGAAATCTCAGTTCCTCCTGGAGATTGCCAGACTCCGGGACCCCTTCCTGGTGCTTGGGAGGACAAATCAGCAGTTTCTTCTTTTCCCACCTCGGTGATGATGCAGAGGCAGGTCCAGCCAGCTCCCACCCTCTGCATCTCAGGGGAGGAGGCCTGGAGCTCTTAGACAAGAAAAGGCCGCCTTTATTTCCATCCTTGGTGACTGAAAGCCAGCCAGCACTGCCCTCAGGAAGGGAGGCAGCTAGACCAGCTGGTTACCCATGCCTCTCATCTGTCACTTCTGCCTCACATGAAGTCTTGAACAATCAGGTATTTCTCTTTACTTCTTTGAACGAAGTGATTAGTAGGCCCTGCTGGGCTTGATTTCTTTGGCGATATTATTATGGTTACGTTGGCTGTTTTGAAACAGGGCTCACTCTGCAGCCCGGCTGACCTTGAACTCCTGGCAATCCTCATGTCTCAGCTCCTGAGTGCTAGGATTACAGGTGTGAGCCTCCACTCCCAGTTTAGATTTTATTTAAGATGATGCTAATAGGGCCAATGAGATGGCTCAGCAGGTAAATGCACCGGCCACTACCCCTGACTGCCCGAGTTCAAGCCCCCCACCTACATGGTGGAAGGAGAGAACCTCTCCTGCAGATTATCCTGTGATCTCCACATATGTCCTGTGGCATGCACTGCCCCCACAAAATAAATGTAAAATAAGTTTTTTAGCCAGATGGTGGTGGTGCACACCTTTAATCTCAGCACTCAGAAGGCAGAACCAGGCAGATCTCTGTGAGTTGGAGGCCAGCCTGGTCTACAGAGTAAGATCTAGAACAGGCACCAAAACTACACAGAGAAACCCTGTCTCAAAACAAAAGATATTGTCCATGAGGAATATATATTGCTACATTATAACAAAAGATACTGTCCATAGGGAATATATGTTGCTACATTATAACAAAAAAATTTTTTTTGTGGTGCTAGGGCTCAAACCCAGGGCCTTGTACATGCTAGGCAAGGACCTCAGACCTTAAAATATTTCTCTAACTATGGGCTGGAGAGATGGCTCAGCAGTTAAGAGCACATGTTGCTTTTGTACAGGACCTGGGTTTGCTTCCCAGCATCCACATGGCAGCTCACAACCATCCATAAACTCAGTTCCAGGGGATCCAATGTTCTCTTCTGGCCGCCACTGGCACCAGGCATGCATGTGATGCAAATATATATACATACATGCATACAGCACACACATATACACAATGAAAAATATAACTAATATTTTTCATACTTTAATAACTAGATTCCAGTAAAAATTAGTGCCCTCTGCCATTTTACTTT